CTTTATTTTATAGCAGATGCCACGAGGCAAAGTAGGGGCGTGATCACGTTGTTTACAGCATTCTCGTGAGTTCCAACCTCACTCAATTACATGCACCCGAACTCTATCACAAGGCACATGGGGCCACGTGTTTGGACCATAGGTTCAAGCTTACAACCACAGCCATTGGCTATGATTGTGCTGGGGGGGCCCTGCCCTCCAGCTGGGACTTGCATGTGGCAATGAGAGGACCCTGTCCTTTCATTAGTCTGAGACTTGAACCTAGCCAAGACACTGTACCCGCGCCCAGCAATATCCTAGACCCGTGGTCAGCAAACTGTGGCTCGCGAGCCACATGCAGCTCTTTGGCCCCTTGAGTGTGGCTCTTCCTAAGCCTTAGGAGGACCCTAATTAAGTAAATAACAATGTACCTACCTATATAGTTTAAATTTTAAAAATCTGGCTCTCAAAAGAAATTTCAATCGTTGTACTGTTGATATTTGGCTCTGTTGACTAATGAGTTTGCCGACCACTGTCCTAGACAGGTAAGGAATGTCTAGAGGGGGTGTCTATAATAATTAAAGCATAATATGCAAATTGACTAAATGACCAAACAGCAGAATGACCATCCGAATGACCTTCTGGTAGACCACGCTATGACACGCACTGGCGCCGGGCCATCAAAAGCAAGTGTGATGTGATTGGTCGGGGGGGCCTGCCATTGTCTCATGATCACCCCACAGGGAGAGGCTCAGACCACCCTCTGCGTGGTGATTGATTGTGGAGCCCCAGCCGGGTGGGGGGGGGCCTCCCTCTGCGGGTGATCATCTAGGGGCCCTGCGATCAATTGCCCCACAGAGGGAGGCCCAGGCCACTGGCCAGCGATGCTGTAGCGGGTGTGCAGGCCGGCCAGCGATCGCCCTGCAGAGGGAGGCCCAGGCCAGCCAAGCGATCACACCCCCCACGCCTGTCGCCCACAGAGGAGGTGACTGTGGCGGGGGCGGGGGAGCAGCACCGCACGGATGGCAAGCAGTGGCAGCGGCGGGGGCAGGGCCAGCTGCAGGCTGCCAGGGGAAGGAAAGCCCCAATAGGCCCTGATCTCCAGCCAGTCCTAGGGACCCTACCCAAGGGGTCCCAGATTACGAGAGGGTACAGGCTGGGCTGAGGGACACCCCTGTGCATGTGGGCCTCTAGTCTATCTACACTAATAAGAGAAACATGCAGCCGAAACCGGTTTGGCTCAGTGGATAGAGTGTCAGCCTGCGGACTGAAAGGTCCCAGGTTCGATCCCGGACAAGGGCATGTACCTTGGTTGCGAGCACATCCCCAGTGGGGAGTGTGCAGGAGGCCGCTGATCGATGTTTCTCTCCCATTGATGTTTCTAACTCTCTATCTCTCTCCCTTCCTCTCTGTAAAAAATCAATAAAATATATTTTTTTTAAAAAAGAGAGAAACATGCAAATTGGTGTCATTCTGCTACACCCACCAGCCAATCAGATGAGTATGCAAATTAAGCCAACAAAGATGGTGGTTAATTTGCATATGCAGGCACCGTGCGAAGACTGAAGACTGAAGAGGCTTGGCTTCTCTGCTGAGGCTGCAGTAGAGAAGCCAAGCCTCGCTGCGGCCGGGGAGGGGAGAAGCCTAGCCTCGCTGCTGCAGCCGGACCAAAGGCCTGGGTCCCGGGTGCTGGAGGAAAACTGGTGCCGGCAGCCAGAAGGAAGGCCTATTGCACGAATCTTCCTTGCCATGGGCTTCATCCTATCTAATAAAAGAGAAACATGGTAATTAGCGTACATCTGCTACCCTTCCCATTGGCTAATCAGCGAGATATGCAAATTAACTGCCAGCCAAGATGGCGGCCAGCAGCCAGGCAGCTTGAAGCTAACATGAGGCTTGCTTGCTTCAGTGGCGGAGGCTTGCAACGTTCCCCGCCTGCCTTGCCGGCCTCTGAGCTTGCAGTTTGAAATATTGTTACAAATATAGAAGCTAAACAAAACCTCAGAAACCTGCTTTCAGCCAGCTGGGATCTCAGAGCTGGAGTTGAAACAGTGTTTTGATTATAGAACCCAAACAAACCAGATACCTGCTTTAAGCAGCCGAGGCCTAAGAGCTGGAGCCAAGCCTCAGAGCTAAAGCTGTCCCAGAATAAAAAAAAAAAAGAAAAAAAGGAGCAGTTGGGAGCTTCAGTCACCCGCCAGCCTGAAAACAGCCCTCAGCCCCTCACCCAGACTGGCCAGGCACCCCAGTGGGGACCCCCACACTGAAGGGTGTGTGACCAGCTGCAAACAGACAACATCCCCTCACCCAGGCTGGTCAGGCACCCCAGTGGGGACCCCCACCCTGATCCAGGACACCCTTCAGGGCAAACCAGCCAGCCCCCACCCATGCACCAGGCCTCTATCCTATATAGTAAAAGGGTAATATGCCTCCCAGCACCGGGATCAGCGGAGCCGCGAGGCCTCCTGGCACCGGGATCAGTGTGACAGGGGGCAGCGCCCAAACCCCCTGATCGCCCTGTGGCTCTGTGTGTGACAGGGGGCGGGGCCACAACCTCCCTATCTGCCCTGCTCTGTTCGTGACAGGGGAAGGCGCACCAACCCCCTGATTAGCCCTGCTCTGTGCCTCATAGGGGGGAGCTCCCCAACCCCCTGATCGCCCTGCGGCTCTGTGTGTGACAGGGTGCGGCGCCCCAACCCCCCCCCCCCCATGGGCCCTGCTCTGTGTGTTACAGGGTAGAGCCATAACCTCCCCATTGGCCCTGCCCTGAGTGTGACAGTGGCAGCGCCCCAACCCCCTGATTGGCCCTGCTCTGTGCATGACAGAGGGTAGCGCCGCAACCTCCCCATCGACCCTGCCTTGAGTGTGACAGGGGGCGGTGCCCCAACCCCCCAATCAGCCCTACCCTGAGCGTGACTGAGGGTGGCATCACAACCTCCCGATCCGCCCTGCTCTGTGCATGATAGGGGGTGGCGCCCCAACTCCCCAATCAGCCCTGCTCTGAGCCGGACCAGGGGCTGCACCTAGGGATTGGGCCTGCCCTCTGCCACCCGGGAGCAGGCCTAAGCCAGCAGGTCGTTATCTCCCGAGGGGTCCCAGACTGCGAGAGGGAACAGGCCGGGCTGAGGGACCCCCCTCCCCACCGAGTGCACAAATTTTTGTGCACCGGGCCTCTAGTCTACACTAATAAAAGAGAAACATGGTAATTGGCGTACGACCACTACCCTTTTCATTGGCTAATCAGCGAGATATGCAAATTAACTGTCAGCCAAGATGGCGGCGGCAGCCAGGCAGCTTGAAACTAACATGAGGCTTGCTTGCCTCAGTGACGGAGGATCGTTGGAGGGAACCAACGTTCCCCACCTGCGGCTGCAGGCCTCTGAGCGGGCAGTTTAAGAAACATTGTAACAAATACCGCCAGACTTCAGCCAGCAGATTCGCAACATTGTAAGCAAAGGCCAGAAACCTACTTTCAGCCGCAGAGGCCAAGCCTCAAGGTAAAGCTGGCCCAGAATAAAAAAAAAAAAGAAGAAAAAAAGGAGCGGTTGGGAACTTCAGTCACTCCCAGCCTGAAAACAGCCCTCAGCCCCTCACCCAGACTGGCCAGGCACCCCAGTGGGGACCCCCACCCTGATCCAGGACACCCTTCAGGGCAAACCAGCCAGCCCCACCCGTGCACCAGGCCTTTACCCTATATAGTAAAAGGGTAATATGCCTCCCGGCACCGGGATCAGCATGACAGGGGGCAGCGCCCAAACCCCCTGATCGCCCTGCGGCTCTGTGTGTGACAGGGGGCGGGGCCCCAACCCCCTGAGCAGCCCTGTTCTGTGCCTGATAGGGGTAGCTCCCCAACCACCACCCCCCGCCCCACGGGCCCTGCTCTGTGTGTGATGGGGTAGAGCCATAACCTCCCCATCGGCTCTGCCCGGAGTGTGACAGTGGCGGCGCCCCAACCCCCTGATCGGCCCTGTGGGTGATAGAGGGCGGTGCCCCAACCCCCTGATTGGCCCTGCTCTGTGCATGACAGGGGGTGGCGCCGCAACCTCCCCATCGACCCTGCCTTGAGTGTGACAGGGGACGGTGCCCCAACCCCCCAATTGACCCTACCCTGAGCGTGACTGAGGGTGCCATCACAACCTCCCAATCTGCCCTGCTCTGTGCATGATGGGGCAGCGCCCCAACTCCCCAATCTGCCCTGCTCTGAGCGCAACCAGGGGCTGCACCTAGGGATTGGGCCTGCCCTCTGCCACCCGGGAGCAGGCCTAAGCCAGCAGGTCGTTATCTCCCGAGGGGTCCCAGACTGCGAGAGGGCACAGGCCGGGCTGAGGGATCCCCCCCTCCCCCCCGAGTGCACAAATTTTTGTGCACCGGGCCTCTAGTATATCTATATATGCCTAAGATGCAAGTTGTCCCCTCCAGAGTTCCACCAGGAGACAGGAGTTCAATGGCTAGCTGGCTATGATGTGCACTGACCACCAGGGGGCGAAGAATGAAGGAAGGCCCCAATCCGCCCTGATCACCTGCCAGGCCTAGGGACCCTACCCTGCTTGAATTGCAGGCACGGGGCCTCTAGTTAATTAAATAACCACACAAATAACTGCAATGGTCATAAGTGCCTAAATTTAACAAAGCAGAAATCAGGGGAACAAAAGCAATTTTCTATCATAAAAATATTCCAAGATTATGTATAGAAATTTATACAATGAGATGGGATTACTAGTGATTTTGGAAAGGATGCAAATGCAGGAACTAGGCAGGCAGAGAAGAAAATGGGAAGGCGAGGCGGTGGCTGCCTTTTCTGCAATTCCGCGGAGAGGGAGTCCTTCCCCTCCCCCAACCGTGGGTGCTAGGCCCACCCCCTACGTTCGGTACCACCCGGGCGCTGGAGCCGGAACACTTGCGCGGCTGCGGCGACCGGCACTCGGGCGGGGCCAGGAGTGATGGGGGGCAGGCGGAGGGGGGCAGACCACGTGACAGCCACGCGGTGCACCCGCTGGAACACAGCCCCGCCCCAGCCCCAGCCCGGCTCTTCGCCGACCAACTCCCGCACACCCAGCCCCGCGGCTGCCACGGCTCAGCAGACGGTCGCCTGCGCTCGCGCCCCTGCACGCGCCTAGCGCCTCGGATCTTCCAGCGGCCCCGCGCGCTCCTCGCGCCCCAGGATCGTTCCGGCGGCCCCCGCGCCCCGCGATCGTTCCAGCGGCCCTCGCGGCCCTCGCTGCCTCCCCGGCCCGCCGGCCCGCGCGCCCGGCTCGCCGCTCCCCGGCACTCTCGGGGGGCCCGCCCGCCCTGCACCCTGGAGCACCGGGCTACCAGCCTCTACCACCTCCTCTGGATCCTCGCGGCCGTGAGCATCGGCCGCCGCTCCTGTCCGCCCGAAGGAGGTAGGAGCGGCTGCAGCTGGTCGGGCTTGTGGGCGCGGGCGCTGCAGGACCAACTCCCCCCCCCCCCCCCCCACTCCCGGGGCGGCCGGTACCCCGAGCACGCTGGGCCTGGGGCTTGGAAGTGGGACCCGAGGCCGCGCAGAAGGCCAGTGTTGGGAGCGCTTCTCCTCTGGTTAAACTCTGGGGCTCGGTGCTGGCATCTGTAAAATTGGGGGCGTCGCGCAGGTTAACGGCGGCGTCTATTAGGAATACGCTTGGCACGCGAAGGGCCGGGAGAGGCTGCTTGGGTCCCCCGCCCAGGGCCGCAGAGGATGGGGACAGCGCTGCCGTCCGGTCGCTTTGCAGGGCCCGGAGCCCCATTCCCCCCCCCCCCCCCATCAGCAGGACTCCCGGAACCTCGAGGACAGCGCAGACGCGCCTTGCAGCGTCGTTGGTTGTGGGAGTCGGTGGTTAGCTCGGTGGAGACGTGCGCCAAAGGGCGGGGCGGGCATGAGCGGGCGGGGCGGGCCTCCGGGTAAGTCCCGGCCTGGTTGTGTCTGCGCCCCGAGTGTGACAGATGAGCCTGCGCGGGAGGGCCTCGCCTGGCGCTGGGGCCACTCCGCCGGGAAGGCAGTAGCTTCGCGCCCTCTGATGTTCAGGAGGAGGAGCCGAGGCCAGGGGGTCTAAGGGCAGACTCTAACGATTAGACTCATGAGAGAGACGGACTAAGTGAAAGCGAACACAGAGCAAGCAGCGGGAGGCTGACGGTGCCGGCGGTGTGGTGGGGGCGGGGCGGCTGGTGGAGGGCGGCTTCCTGGAACAGGAGCTGCAGCAGCGGAGCTGGAGAGGAGGCCTGCAGATGGGGGGAGGGTTCAGGCACCGAGGGATGCGGGCGTCCTCCGCTGCAGCCGACATTCATTCCCCTGTTCATGTGCGAATTCAACAAATGCAGCACACTTGATGACTTCAGGTGTAACATGGTTGGGATTGCCATCCCCCTTCCTCGCAGCCCCTTCGCAAAGGGCTGGGTCCTCTGGGGTCCCCCAAGTTCTTATCCTCCGCAGGGGTGGCGGCAGGAAGTCAGGGCCTGCTGATCAGTTGAAATGTTCTCAATGTATGTGTAATTGTTGGGGGAAAGTCCCAAAGTCTGAATTCAGGATCAATTCCTAAGAACTGACAGGAAGCCTTATTCAAATTCATAAGAGCTTTTTTTTAAAAAAAAAAAAAAAAAAAGAAGAAAGAAAATTAAATTGATTTTAGAGAGGGAAGAAGGGAGAGAGAGAGAAAGAGAGAGAAACAAGGATATGAGAGAGAAGCGTCCATCAGTTGGCTCCCCTCCCAACCCGCGACCTTCCAGTGCACAGGGCAATGCTCTAACCCGCTGCGCCACCGGCCAGGGCCATAAGAGCTTTACTGGGAGAAACCTACATGCACAGGTGAAGCATGTATGTAAGTTTCCCCTGTTTAAAGCTCCAGGACCCTAAAAACCTGGCGCTATGCCCCCATTTACCAGCAAGGGCCTGACTCCTGAGCCACCAGCCTGAAGCCCCCAAAAGACTGTGGACAGAGCCTCTTCTTTCTATCTCCCCCCCCCACATGGTTGGTGGCTATCTGCTGAAGAGAGGGGGTCTTTGCAGGGTCTGGGGGGTGAGTGGGCCTTGTTTGTTTTTTGTTTGTTTGTTTGTTTTAATTGTTTTAAAATATATTTTTATTGATTTCAGAGAGGAAGGGAGAGGGGGAGAGAGGAACATTAATGATCATTAATGATGAGAGCAAATCATTGATCAGCTGCCTCCTGCACGCCCCCCAATGGGGACTGAGCCAGCAACCCAGGCATGTGCCCTTGACCAGAGTCGAACCTGGGACTCTAGTCTGCAGGCTAATGCTCTGTCCACTGAGCCAAACCAGCTAGGGGTGCGGGGCAGGGGGGGGGGGGGGATCAGTTTTGCTGACCAAGAAGCTTCAGACTGTTACCCTCGACAATGAGAATTTTCTAGCAGAAGATGGTTATAGTGACCACCATGGGCTGAAAGCCGCTTGGGCCGTAAAGTCTTTCTGGATTAAACTCTGGTAGCTAAGGCTGATGGGCACGAGCAAGAAAGCTTCAGAGAGGAAGGAGCGGGTCCCACACATGCTGATGATAACGGGCAGGCGACCGTCCTCGGGTCCCCAACGAACCCGAGAAGCATTTCGAATCTCTGGAAAGTCAGAGGGTGGGCAGTGCTCCGTTCTCCAGCTGGGACACCTTCTAGGCCTGCAAGGACTCCTCAGGGAGCAGTTGAAAAACAAGTGGTTTGACTGCAGAAACTTTCCCTGGGCCAGTGCTGGGGCTGGAGGGAGTGCACGCCTAAAGCAGCCGGGGTGTGTAAACACAGCGCTGGGCCTCCCGGAGTTTAGCTGCGGGGGTTGGAGCGGAGCCTGGGGGTTTGCTCAGGTTCCCAGGGAGGCTGCCCCTGCTGCTCGTGGCCCCAGGACCGCGCTTTTAGGCCTGGCTTAGCAGGTGAGGACTGAGGGGAAGCCTCCGGTCAGCGGCACTGGCTTCAAACCCGACTCCCCCACTTCCCACCTGTGTGCTTGGGGCCCCTGAGTGAGTGTGACAGAGCCCCTGCCTCCAGCCGCCCCTGGTGCTTGGGGGCTGTCTGCTGCAGAGAAGGGGGCCCTGGAACCTTTCTGTTCCTGCATTTCCTCCTGTGCAGGATGCAGCGAACAGCGCCTGTCACCTAGGGACCCGGGGGTTTCCTGGAGAAGATGACATCTAAGCTGAAGCCAGAGGGATACGCAGAGGAGTTGGCCGGGATGCGTGGGGAGGCGGGCTGGGACGTGTGTCAGACAGAGGGCCTGTCGTGAGAGAGGCCCCGGGATCGGGAGCCCCTGTCCTCCAGGGAGCTGAGAGGAGTGACGAAGCAGAAGCGGGCGCTTTGAGATACTGAAATGCTGCGAATCCGTTCCAGGCCGTCTCAGGGCAGGACCGCAGTGGAGGGGACACACCAAGGGCCGGGCGGGGAGCGGGGAAATGGGCTGTTGAGGTGGGCTTGGAAGCAGCCCATATCCCATTGGCCCCCAGGCAGTCACATGGTCCCAGCTAGATGCAAAAGGTGCTGGGAAACGTAGTCCCTGGCTGGGCAGGGGCGCACAGCTTCGTGGGGGCGAGCTTCCTGTCTGCCACAGTGGCTTCTCTGTCCCCTGGCCACCTCTCTCAGCTCGTTACCTTGCTCACTCCGCTCCGCGATCTTGATTGAGTGAATACTACAGATGAGGAAGCTGAGGTTCCGCGAGGGGAAGTCATTTGCCCAACGCCACTCAGCTAGTAGCAGAGGCAGGACCTGAACCCAGACCTGTTTGTCCCAAAAGCCTGGCCAGGCCAGATCCTAGTCTTGGGTGCTTTTTGAGGGCCTCCCCATGATGCAGGCTTTCCTACTCAGGAGCTTTTGAAACTGGATGACAGTAGGTCTGGGCTGCCTGTCACCACTTGAGCCCGTTAAGCAGAGACAGGGTTGAATCATATGTGAGCGTGTATTCTAACACTGCCGGCAGCGTGCGAGGGCAGCAGGTCAGCCATGAAAGTCTGTCTGCGCCCCCATCAGCCAGCCGCTTATATTGGATAGGAGGACAAAGATCACATGGGGAGGTAGGCAAAAGGAATTAGAATAGTTATTACAGGCATAGGGAAGTAGGCAAACGGAATAAAAGTGGGTAAATGGTTACGGATTACAGGCACTGTGACTGGGCGTTGCAAAGAGCCAGTGCCTTCTGGACTCCATTGTTTCAGCAACAAGGTTGTTAATCTTTCTATGATAGGCAGTTCCTGATGAGAATGGACCGCATTCAGGTTAACTCCCAGGTCCCGGGGAGTACATCTCCCAGCCGGATCAGGATGTGCTTTCTTTAATCAGAACAACGCACTCACAGTTAACGGACCATGATTAATATTTCCTATAACTACAGCTCGTCCCCATTAGTCTATCTCTGCCCCTAACACTGCCAGGCTAATTAACCCCCAGACACCGGGGGGTTATAGCCCCATAGTCCCTCCACTCCCAGCCTGCAGTGCCCATTGTATCAGCAGAAGTTGCCCAGTTTCTCCAGTTACTTGTGAGTTCATGCCGCATGCATTTACGCAGGACCTAGTGTGTGCATGCCTGGTGCTCTGCACTGGGAGAAAGAGGAGAATGAGACATGGCCCCTTTTGTTCGGGGCGCACGGGGCTGGCCCCTGAGGGGGAGGCCGTGTAAACAGGGCTCCCCCTGAGAAGTGAGACAAGTTGTGTCCCTGGTTTCCTGGTGTACACGGTGATCTGGTACATGACCAGGGCACCCAGCGAGTCATTAAAAATTAATATTCAAACTCTCATGTGCATGTTGTTAAAGCTATAATGAGAATAATTTGTGCTTTGTGTTCTAAAGTGTGTTTTTCTGGTTTTTAAAAACGGGGAATAGTCTTGCACCGTCACAGTTTTGTATGAAGAAAGCCCTGGGTCTGGCAGCGGTTTGTACGCGCTTCAGCAGTGCCAGGCTGACTTGGCTCCTTGCTTTGTCAGTGAGTAAGTTCATGTCTCCTCGTTCTGGTGTGTGTGGAGGTTGGCTTTTAAGAGGAGAGGAGAGTGGGTGCGGAGGCTTCTTGGAATTCCACCAGAATCGTCTCGGCAGGTCTCTCAGCCTCGGCACTGTTGGCAGTTGGCTAGACAACCGTGTGCTGTGGGGCCGCCCGTGCCTGTAGGGAGCTCAGCAGCGTCGCTGGTCCCGACCTGTTAGCAGTCAGTTACCACCCCAGAGCGTGACGGCCAGAAATGTCTCCAGACACGGCCACGCGTCCCCTTGTTGGCAACATTGCCCACGTCGAGACGACTCTCTGGACGGTCCTTGTTTCCTGTCACGACTGTAGCAAATCCCAAACTAGTGGCTGAAAACAACACAGATTTCTTCTTCCAGTGGTTCAGGAGGTCGGAAGTTCAGGAGGTAGGAAGTCAGCGTGCCAGCAGGGCTGTGTTCCTTCTGGAGGCTCTAAGGAAAGGTGTTTCCTCG